TGTGACTTGTAGAGTTAATTAATTTACTATGAAAACCATTCAATTTTTTGTCGAAGAATGAAATAATTACCATGGCAAACAAATAGGGACAGTTGAACTGGATGAGTTCCCTATATGGATATATAAGGTATAAACACTATTGCCATGTTTTAAGCGATTATTGCCTTATTCTCAACTTATATTTTATCAGCTGCAAAAATGGCTTTTGTGGCCATTGTTTAAAACATGAAACTGACCAAATTATTTCCAAGTTTTGTTTTCTTTCATTTGGTTTTGAACCGTATTTGTGGTAGTTACATCCAACTTAATCAATTCATTAAAATATTGACAATGGACTAAAGTTTGATAGTGTTAGTTTTCTTTCTTAGTCTCATATAGGATCAAACATCTGTTGCTGAATCACGCAGCAAATAACGGTATAATGCTCGTCATGTAAGCCGGCCAGGTGATAAAATCAAATGCAGAAAAAAACAAGTTCTCAATTATTTGTTATATTACATTGTAGCTGAACTGAACGAGTTTCACGTTGAGTACATACAAGATTATTAAATTCGGAATAGAATTTTGTTCCCATATCAATCGTTTGTATCAACTGTGACTTGTATAGTTAAAGAATTTCCTACGAAAAACATTCAATTTTATGTCGAAAAATGAAATTATTACCATGGCAAACAATCTAAGACTGTTGAAATGAATGAGTTCCTTATACAGATGTATAAGGTATAAACACTTTAGCCATGCTTACTGGTGTAAATTCTAAGAATATGTAACGTTTGGGAACATATCAAATAGTACGTAGATATTTTGAGGATGTAGTTACCGTAGTTACCAAGTTAGGACACTTTGACGAGTGGAGAAACTTACCTAAAATTTAGCAGATTAAATTTGCATTTAAATCCATAAGTTTGCTTTCATATTTTTATTATGTCTGTCAATTACACATATGAATAACCATTACGGTGATTCACAAAGCTAGTAATTGTTTATCCCTAATTAAATCAAACGGCATGTCTGCCCGTGCACGTGCAAACTTGCCGTCTCTATTGATTCACGTACGATGTACTATTTACCGTTTGCTGTAGCCTCCAAGGGAAACAGTCTATTTTGAGAACGATAAACTTACAATATTCCTCACTCTACACGAGAAGAAACACTCTTCTCCGTCTAAGCTAAAGCCATTGTTATTCAGTAATTTCTTATTAAGGGTGATGCAATGAAAAATATGCGGATTGTAAGTCCTTGCTGAAACGTTGCACTAAAGACTTGACCCGGTCTCGGTGTATAATTTGAACTGAATCAGCTCGGTATTACGTTTTACGGTTGCTTCCGATATCTTACAATACATGAAGATAATTTGGCATAAAATTTGGGAAATATTCATTCTTGTTTATGTTATTGTTAATGATTTTTCTAAAATGCAAGGCCTATTTCTTTTATGGTTCTTTTCTCAGCTTTATGTGAGGAATGCTTGAGTTATTTCTTATTTATCTCGCACCTTTTTAATTATTTGGATCTGTAATCTTCCAATTTCCAGGTTTCAGTTACAAGACGATAACGACAGCTACCGTATTTATTTCATTCGTAAGTAAAATGATGGAATGTGATGAATTTATAACACATTTAAGGGGACGATCTGAATTGCTATTGAAGCCATGTTTGATACATAAAGATAAGGGTTGTATCATACATTTAGTTTCCATTTTCCGCATGAATGAGACATAGAAAGATCTCAAAAGTGTCAAACCGCAAGATCTTCCAAATGTATACTATTTCAGTCCAGGATATTTATATTGTGTCTTTCAGGGGATATAAAATTAGCAGAGATCCAACTGAAACAAGATAAATTTAACTATTCATCATTGAGTGTTAACGTGTAAACTTAAGTCCATGTTTTAAGCGATTATTTCCTTATTCATAACTGATATGAATCATCTGAGGAAAACAGCGTATAAAATAGCGTATTATTAGTTTAATAATTGTTACCTATGTCATACATAGCTTGCCGCTTAATTCGCGGTTAAGTTAATACGTCAATAACACACTTTATGACATGTATGTTAAGGTGGCTCCATAGCTACGTTGGTTAGAGCGCCAGTCTCGTAAACTGGAGGTCGAGAGTTCGAATCCCTCTGGAGCCATTTGTTTTAAACGTTTAAATGAACAAATCGTCTTAATTTTGGGCCATCTTGACGGGTTCTGATTGCAACGGATGAAGATGATTCACTCCATTTAAAACCATGACAAACGACATAAGTTTTATAGGATACTACTTAGTCTTTTAATGTACTGTGATCTTGTCGAATCCCACATTAAATAAAGGCATAAATATGTAAAGTAAGTTGGGCGAACATAGGAATGGACACGGAATTGACTGAAATGAGCAAAGTCCCTTTATGCTCGTTGACTTCCAACTTAGGACGAAGTTACTTTTATGTTACATACTGCTGTTTCTGGTGTCTCACTCTTTTAATGACCTTTAAGATATTGTCCAGTAAAAATATTCTTTTTTTATTGAATTAGCTGTTTTAAACATACAAAAAATGAACACCAATCAACTGTCAGAACTATGTTGACAAGTTTGAAATTAGCAAGATGAAAACAAGGAAACAGCGTTGTTTACCTAAGTGAGGAAACAACATTTCTTAAAATCATACGATGCAAACTTTTTGTGTTAGCTGGTTCCTTGGAATTCTGGGAGCCTTTAATGATCAATACGAATCCTCCGAAAGTTTATGGTTCACATTTAATCCAAGTCCGTGTCCTGGATACATCTTTACAGGACTGATTTTCTCTGATTACGTGTAGGTCCCCTGCATTTACCTATTTTGATGGTCTGATTTGTTTTCACATATAATTCGCTTATCTTTTTCAGCATTGGTATGTGTCTGACAGACTACATGCCTAAATACCGACTTTAGGTTTAAACTTACCGTTCATATACCGCAAAGCCCTTGGCATAATTCATCCGGGATATTTTGCCCTTTTTCATAATTTTGTGACAACTTCAGATAAGACATACAAGTAAGCATATTTAGGACAATGTTTATCAAGATGTTATCATTTTTGCAAAGATAATAGGTTATTCCTGGAGTCTTCGTACGGGAATGGTAGATTCAAGGCAATACCTAACGATATAAAACAAGAACAAGGAGCAATTCGATTCACATTTAATCCAAGTCCGTGTCTTAGATACAACTTTACAGGACAAATTTTCTCTGATTAAATGTAGGTCCCCTGCATTCACCTATTTTGATGTTCTGATTTGTTTTCACAGATGATTTGCTTATCCTCTTATTCAGCATAGAGTTGTGTCTGACAATAAGGAAGCAAATTGCAACTTAAACTGAGCGTGGAGGAAATAAAGAATACACATTAGATTAGGTATAAAATAATAATAAAAGTTTATGACATTAGCTCCATTCTAAGCTGCACTGAACGAGTTTCACCTAGAGTATATTCAAGAATATTAAAAGTAGACGTTACTTTTCTTCCAATACGAATATTTGTGCAAGCTGGGAGTTGTACAGTTAATTAATTGTCGAAGAAGGAACTTTTTGTATGTCACATAATATAATGATTTACCATAGTAAATAAAAAAGATATTACAACGGAATGAATTCCACATATGGATGCATAATCTCTCTGTGTATAAATATATATATATATATATATATATATATGTATGTATGTATATATATATTTATATATATATATATATATATATATATATATATATATATATATATATATATATATATATATATATATATATATATATATATATATAACTATTTATAACTATGTGTTACCGTGTAAAATAGTTCGTTCATAAAATGAAACTATAAAAATAAATCATTTTGTGCTAATTTCTCAAACTTGAACACAACGCATGATAGTCAAAACAGTTCAAACTCTCTCTTAAACGTACAGGAAAGTACACGAATACATTTCTTCACTTCATTGTGGTTCTGTATAATATAATATAAATACAAAAAATTGTCTTTCTTTCTTCTTTCTTTCTTTTTTTCCAACTCCCAAGATGTCCAAAGTTAGAAACTCGGTGCGGCTTCCCAATTTTTGTAAATACTCTATTTGTTTCTTGATCTTAAATCTTTAACTTAACCTCGCTCATCCGATTATTTATTAATTTTGTTATCTTTTTACTTTTTGTATTCCAGTCCCTAGGTGGTCAATTAACTTAGTTCAAACTATAGTGGTCATTGATGTTTCGGGTTCCGGATCTTTACAGTTACATGTCTAACTGATCAATTCAAAAATTCATGTTACTGCTTTAGACCACATTAGCTTTTAAATCTAAGTAAACATTGTTTGGTTTAAAAGAAATTACTTAACTTTTTTATCCTATCTATCTGTATGCATATCAATAGGAATTACTTAACATTTTGTACCTATCTGTATGCACAGCAATACGAATTACTTAACATTTTGTACCTATCTGTATGCACAGTAATACGAATTACTTAACATTTTGTACCTATCTGTATGCACAGTAATACGAATTACTTAACATTTTGTACCTATCTGTATGCACATCAATAGGAATTACTTAACTTTTGTACCTATCTGTATGCACAGCAATACGAATTACTTAACATTATGTACCTATCTGTATGCACATCAATAGGAATTACTTAACTTTTTGTACCTATCTGTAGGCACAACAAAGTAATCAGGGTAGTAGTATACCTTACAATTAATTACAATATAAAGTTTTTGTTTCGCCGTTTTAATATCATGTTGTTGAAATGTACAATGCAATAACTATAATCGGTACGTAAACATAAAACAGTCTTCAGTTGGATATAAACTGTAGACCTTGGGTAGGTAGGTACCTGTATGTGTATTGATGTATCCTTAAATATTAATACATACATACCAGTATGAATATAAGAACAAGACAGATCGGAATACTCGAAATCAGAAATAAACAATCTAATTACAAAACAACTCTAGAGTATTGAAACGGGAAAGTAAAAAAAAGACACCAGTGGGATTCGAACCCTCGACCTTCAGTTTACTAGACTGGCGTTCTAACCAACTGAGCTATGAAGCCACAATAACACTATAGTTTATAGCTCTTTTAAGTTTGAAATAATAAGCAATTGTATTTCTGAAACTCGGCCAATTACTGACTTTCAAGCTGTGTTTTTCAAATTTCCTCGATCGATCTAATATAGATTATTCTCGTCCCAGCAGATAATCTGAGCTATTTCAAATACTTCTTTATGTATACATTTATGTTAATAACTGTATTGATTTATAAAGCATAAGCGAATATATCTACATACTTTGAATACTGCCTTTTGAAGTAGACTGTAACAAGACATTCGTAATAATAGGGTGCATCAATGTACTTCTTGCATTAAGGTGAGATGATGCAACATGTCGTGAATTCCCAGTAATGTCATCCCAGTTATCTCGCGATATAGCAATGAATTAATATATAAAGGTATTACAAGGTTAACTCAAACCACAAGGACTTACATAATCTACAAATGAAGTCAACATGTAAAAATCAGAACGTCTATTACAAATGCTTTTCCCACAGTTCAAACTTCAAGTGTCATGCAGACTCGTTTTCGTCGGCATCAACAATGACGGTGTTGATGGAAGACTCTTCTTACTCTTCGAGTGCTTTTCCTTCTTACAACTATTGTACCAATGGCGCTCGGTGTAAAATCATGGTTACATCACTTTGAAGAAAAATAACATTGTTCAAAAAATATTATATCAAGAAACAGACATCTGCATGAATGAAAACAACTGCCCTTAGATTTTGAATAGGTTTACTATTAAATGAACGGATGCTCAAATTCCTGTTGTAAGAAAAAAGGTTCCGGGTTAATCTTCTGGTACCTCGTACTTATTTCGCTCTTAAATATACCATGCATGTACATTGACCTTTTTATACCGTTTGTCATTGTTGGTGTTTGTTTCTTGATTTGTTGTGCTTGAATTGCATAATACCCCTTTGTTTTTTCCTTTGTAGATATCTTAAAAAGTGGTACTTGCCCTTTTTACGATTGATGCAAGTGTTGATTAAACATCACACGTTTGGTCTCTGCAATACTCAATATGATATGTGACGAATAGACAAAAGAGATCCGAGCGTAATCATGTCACTAAAAGTATATAGATCTTCGTCCTCTAAGTTCTAAATAAGACCATGAATGTCCATTTGCTAATATTGTTACTACTGAATCACCACCACGTGTATAAAGGTGTCTCCTAACTTGGCATTTCCCCCATGAGCTGAAAATTACATGAGATTCGATCATATTTTTAACTTTCAAAATTACCAATGATAACGAAAACCCCGATAATTAGTAAGGAAACATATTCTGCTTAAGATTGGATGTCTAGAAAAAAATACTTTCGCTACAGATAAGTTTACTATAAACAGGGTTAGAGATCACTAAGTTTCAGAACTGGCTTTTCATTGGTTGCATAATACCACTCCACATACATCAGTTGACCCTACTTGTATGTTTTAAATGTCATGTTATGTACGAATCAATATTTTGTTCTAATATTAGCCAAGATTATTGATAAAATCAATGAACCCTCGATAATCAAAATAAATATGGAAGGAGAAACAGAATTCTTCTCCTCTTGTTTAATCCAGTTGATGACCAAACTCGCAACTGTACCTTAAAAACGAAATTGTGACACCAAAACTATGCATTGTATTGATTAGCAAACACAGCCAATAGTACTATTGCAATTTGTGTTAGTCCTCCTCTCCGTTTTCTCTCTATAATAAATTTTTGCCATTCATGCCGCTGGTACAAAATATGTAATCAAGACCATACATGTAAGTGTGGCTTCAATTGGAAATGTTCTGTCTATTAATAAAGGAGTGGGAAGAGTGCCTGTCTATATTTACAGCGATCTCCGCTACAGATTCTTCAGATTCGTCAACGTCCGTGATAAATAAGTTTCGTAAAAGTCTATGAATAAGCAGTTTTCGTAAAAAAAGACATTAGGTTCCTTTCTCAACACCACGGTTGTCACGCAGTTGGAATGTAGAAACGACGATTTTGTTGATGAATCAAGATATAATAATTTTCCTCAAAAAAGTGTTGTAGAAATTTGAAAAATGTATTCTACATTTTCAAATAAATTTGGTTTGTTTTATTTTGCAATATGTGGAAAAATAACTGTGATTACGTTTTATCTACTGTTCTGAATACGATGTTGATCAAAAATGTGTTTTCATGTCCTTAAATCAGCAACAATAAAAAATGCTACCTTAGTTTTACAGAGAAAATTTTCATGCATTAGAAAACATATTATAATTAATACCGCCATGAATATAAATGTGATGAATGTTTTTGAACAACCTCTGCTTTTACATTCTAGTAGTACACGTGCTCGTAAAACATCATTCGCAGAATTTAAAGAAGCGGGAATTGACCGTGTTCAGGAAATTAAATACGAATTAGTATAAGATATACGAATAAAGTCCCGAGGTCTAAATAGAAAAAATAAAAAAGAATACAAGTGTATAATAAAAAGTATACCATCAGATTAGAGAAATATTGCAGAAAGAGAACCTAAACCACCTGTGTCCAATGGAAGAATTAATATGTATTTCTAAGTTCATACCATATTGTAAGACCTATATTCACTAACAACACAAATATTATACATGCTTTTATGTACTTTGATTTTCTAAGAATCAGCTTATATTTCTTTTTAGTGTAAGATATATATATATATATATATATATATATATATATATATATATATATATATATATATATATATATATATATATATATATAATTACAGGAGATTGATATACAGGCCTTACAATAGCCCAGATTATGTAGATTTGGATTACTGAATATTGCACATTAAAATATTTACAAAAGAGAGACTGAAATAATATGGTAATATTGATACTGACGTATGTGCGAGTAGGACACGGGATTTATTTCACATGATTTTGAAATGGCCTGAATTAAAGTCCTTTAAGAATTATGTGCTGAATACAGCTGAGATTCATGTAAAATTCTAACGTTGGTGGTCTTAATAGCATTTCCTATGAACAAATGTTTATGATAGGATATAACAAAGAAACAACAGCAGTCAATAATTATATTTTGAAATACATTCTGAGCATTGCTCGATAGTTTGTTTACAAAAGACGTGCGTGACAGTAAGGCCATTATTTAGGGAAATAGATATTTGATTAAGAAATATATATTATATTCGCATCAAAAAAGAGAAAAATCAAGCATTGATTACAAAATATTATGTTCAAGATAATCTGCTGATAAGAGAAGACAAGAAAGAAATTGTTTAAACCTTGTAGCTGTAACACATTGTAATATTACAGGACAAAATACTGTTAATATATTCACTATATTCCTTTACCTTACAAATTGTATTGAAAGCTTATAAAGAAATAAAGAACAGCTAGTCTCCTAAACTAGTTCGACAGTTCAGATTGTTCTGGAGCCATTGTTTATAACATGAAACTAGCAAAATCTTTCCAAGTTTTGTTTTCTTTCGATGGTTTCGAACCGTATTTGGGGTAGTTGCATCAAACTTAACCAATCCATTAAAATCTTGACAATGGATTAAAGTTTGATAGTTTTAGTTTTCTTTTTTAGTCTAATATGGGTGCGAACATCCGTTCCTAAAGCACACATCAAATAGCGGTATAAAGCTGTCATATAATCCGGCGAGGTGATAAAATCAAATGCAGAAAAAAGCATTAAGTTCTCAATTATTCGTCAGATTACAAAATAAACGCCATTAAAGATTATTAGAGGCGGAATTAAATTTTGTTCCCATAGTAATATTTCTTTAAACTGTGATTTGTACAGTTAATTAATTTACTACGAAAACCATTCAATTTTATGTCGAAGAATGAAATAATTACCATGGTAAACAAATAGGGGCATTTGGAATGGATAATTTCCCTATACTGATGTAAAAGATATAAACACTTTAGGCATGCTTAACGGCGTAAATTCTAATAATATGTATTTTTAGAGAACTTATCAAATAGTACGTAAATATTTTGAGGGTGTAGTTACCGTAGTTAAAAAGTTAGGCTCTTTGACGAGTGGAGAAATTTTTCTAAAATTTAGCAGATGAAATTTGCATTTAAATTCATGTTTGCTTTCATATTTATAATCTGTCTGTCAATTCTACCGATGAATAATAATTCCGGTGATTCACAGATCTACTTATTCATTATCCCTATTTTAATAATAAAATGGCCTGTCTGCCCGTGCACGTGCAAACTTGTTGTTTATATTAATTTATGTACGATGTACTATTTACCGTTGCTGTGGCTCCAAGGGAAAGTCTATTTTGAGAACGCGAAATTTCATCCCCAAGTGAAATCATCAGAGCAGCACGATATTCCTTACTCTACATGAGAATAAACACTCTTCTTCGTCTAAGCTAAAGCCATTGTTATTCAGTAATTTCTTAGCAATAAAAATATTCGGATCTTACGTCCTTGATGGAAGGTTGCACTAAAGACTTAAACCCGTTTTCGGCGTATACTTTGAACTGAATGCAGATCGGTATTACTTTGCACGATTTCTTCAGATCTGTTACAATACATGAAAATAATATGGCATAAATTTTTGAAACATTCATTCTTGTTTATGTTATTTTTGATGATTTGATTTAAATGAAAGGTCTGTTTCTTTTATGCTTTTTACCGTATTATGTGAAGAATGCTTAGAGTATTTCGTATTTATCTCGCACCTTTTTATTTACTTGGCTCTGTAATCTTCCAGGTTTCAGTTACAAGAAGATAGCGACATCTTCCATGATTATTTACTTCGTAAGTAAAATTGATGGAATGTGATGAATTTATAACACATTTTAGCGTGGACGATGTGAAGTGCTATTGAAGTCATGTTTAGTAGATAAAGATAAGGGCTGTATCATACATTTAGTTTTCATTTTCTGCAAAAATGAGACTAAAAAAAGATCTCTAAAGTGTCAAACCACAAGATCATCCAAATGGATTCTATTTCAGTCTATGATATTTATATTGTGTCTTTCTTGGGAGTTAAAAGT